CCTACTGTAACAAAGTTTATAAGAAACTAATTAAATGTGACAGACACACCTTTCATATACAGGGTAGCCCATCGAAAACGTACCGCAAGGCATTACAGGATAATAATGAACTTTTCGGCAAAATCTAAAAACAGGTAAAGTTTGCTTATGAGGGGGACAACTTTTGGCGCAAAAAGCATAGCAAAATCTTCAACCCCCTAAGTGGGGGTGCCATCCCCCAAATTTTTTTAAATGGGAATGGGGGTCAAGTGGGGGGTCATTAGAAAGGGCTTTTAATTCTCTATACATCGATTCTTACTTTTTGAAAATCGATCCATTATTTTAGAAAATATGCAGCTTTGAAAATACGAACAATATTTTTGACGAGAAATGCGAAAATCGATTTAATTTTACTTCAAAACTTACGGTATTAGCTTGGTAAATTCCTTCAAAAGAATTCGCTTTTTTTTTTCTGATTTGCGAATTCTTTAGCCTGATTTTGGTGAGCAAAAAATTGTCCGCTTTTTGTTTCGTATTTAGATAGGCCACAAGAAGTTGCTAGATAACTGTCTTGTGACTTGTAGTTGAAGAGTACCAATACTGCCGAGTCTTTTAAATTGATTAATTATGGTGTACTCAATTCCAGAAAGAGTAGAAATTATTGAGCTTTTTTTCAAAAACAATGAATGCGGAAATCGGGTCGCCGAACTGTTCAACCAACGGCATCCTGAGAAACATGCGTCTGGAAAAATTGTTCGCGAATTGGTGGCCAAATTTCGCGAAACTGGCTCCGTTCATAACAAAAAGAGGCAGGTTGAAAATCCGGTACTAAATGAACCTACGGAAATAGCGGTATTGGGGCAAGTGGCAATGGATAGTACGCTGAGTACAATGCAATTGGCTACTGCGACAGGAGTGAGTCGTACAAGTGTCCAACGAATATTAAAAAAATACAAATTCCATCCTTATAAGATTCGGCTAGTGCAAGAGCTAAATGAAGACGATTTTGATCGTCGTTTGCAATTTTGCGAAATAATGACTGAACGAGCGATAAACGATAATTTCCTCTTTAATGTGTGTTTTTCGGACGAGTGTACGTTCTTCTTGAATGGTTTAGTGAATCGCCATAATTGTCGTTACTGGGCTGATACCAATCCAAGGATTTTCCATGAGACACACTCCCAACACCCCCAGAAGTTGAATGTATGGGCAGGTATTTTTGGAAATTCCATTGTAGGTCCTTTTTTCCTTCCTGGAAATTTGACAGGCGATATGTACTTGGATTTACTACAAAATGTCATCGACCCAGCTCTAACAAATATCATAGAGGACGACCCTGCTTACAATGAACACGAACTGATTTTCCAGCAAGACGGAGCTCCTCCACATTACTCGCTCAATGTGCGCAATTACCTAAATGAGACGTTTCCAGGACGCTGGATAGGACGAAGAGGTGCAATTGAGTGGCCCCCTCGGTCACCCGACTTAAATCCTTTAGATTTCTTTCTCTGGGGGCACATTAAAAGCAAAGTTTACAGCACTCCACCTGATACCTTGGAAGATCTGCGAGGACGAATCATTAATGTATGTCGCGAAGTAACACCGCAAGTGCTCCAGAATGTTCGACAACGGTTTGAAGACAACCTGTATCATTGTATGCAAGTTGGCGGACAACATTTTCAGCATTTACTTGACTAATACCGTAAGTTTTGAAGTAAAATTAAATCGATTTTCGCATTTCTCGTCAAAAATATTGTTCGTATTTTCAAAGCTGCATATTTTCTAAAATAATGAATCGATTTTCAAAAAGTAAGAATCGATGTATAGAGAATTAAAAGCCCTTTCTAATGACCCCCCACTTGACCCCCATTCCCATTTGAAAAAATTTAGGGGATAGCACCCCCACTTAGGGGGTTGAAGATTTTGGTATGCTTTTTGAGCCAAAAGTTGTCCCCCTCAGAAACAAATTTGACCTGTTTTTGGATTTTGCCGAAAAGTTCTTTACTACCCTGTAATGCCTTGCGGTACGTTTTCGATGGGCTACCCTGTATATATTTATTTAAAGCGCATTATTCTCTAAATGAATCATTAAATGGTATTTTATGAATTTTAGATTAGACTATCACAAATTGTAGATGTACTGCTAAATGAATCATTGATTTTCACATCAAATTATAAACTAATTTATAAATGAATAAATTTAGAAGACACTACCAAGTAACTTTAAAAAATTAATATTAAAATATATCCATAATTCAAGGTATTTGTGAAGTATGCACAGTATTGCACAGCTTAAGTTATTATCCAATATTTTGTGTCGAAGATGACAGATTAGATGTGTGTGTGTTTTTTGTTGTCAATTGATCGTATGAAAAGTTAAAAGTTTTTCGTTCTTAGTATCTTTACGATTACATTGAAACGCAATTTAGTTTAAAATTGACGATCGTGAATTTTACAATCCCTCTCCTCAATTTTTTCTAATGTCATAATTACTAAAACTAGAAGATACTAACTTCTACAGAAATATTTAAAAAAATTGAAAAAACGAATATTTCTATTATTTTCCTATCTGAGATACCGATTTTTTTCTGTGGCTTTAATAGACCCCTCGCCTCCGCCACAATTTTAAATTTAAAAAAATTCGTGATAACCTAATACGTACATATAAGATCTTTTTAAATTTAAATTGTATGTTGAATATACAAAATATTTCTCAATTTATAAGTGCCAGCCTTATTTAGTTGTAATAAATTCTATAAAACTGTATTAATTTCAAATGATTTATTAATATTTTTCAAATGTGTACTTACAGAGAAATAATAAGCATGAATAAATAAGGGAAAGTATCCTCAAGACGAATTATTAAAAAAAATCGAGTCAGTTTTGTACTTACAATTATAAAAAAAACATTTATTTATGCTAGACATGATATGTAAATGCAATTTTCAATTTGTTCTTGTTATTATACCTATACTGTTTTCTTCAAAGTATATGAAGCACGTATTTTTCACGAGGACATTGTTCTTCTTTCTTGATCCTTCCAATACAATATGCAGAATTTAAATAACAGCACAACCAAATTGCTTGTTTTTGAATTCCATTATATTTAATATAAAAAAACAATAATTACTGTTATTCACTAATCTTTTTGAATAATATTGAAAGTTGTGAAGTGTGTCATCCGTTTTGAATAATTCAATCAGTAGATATCAAAATGTATTAACAGACGTGTTTGGCATATTTATGTCAAACAATGCATCTACTAAGTGATCTATTTCATAGTACCAATATACCAGAAAATTGTTTTGAACTACAGTTATAAAAGTTTTAGTTATCTATGCCAGAAAATTCTCTAATAAGGCCATATCTATTATTTTGAAAGGAACCATCTAATATAAAATGACAAAGCATTTTTAAACTGTATTAATAAACCTTATGACCTTAAATGACGCATAAGTATACCTTACAAACAATTATGAATGTGCTAAAAATTAATAAAAGTGGTTTAGTATCAGAAAACAAATGAGTAATGCTTAATTTTCCTCATAATGTTTCCAGATAAATTATTTACCGAGATAAACAAATAAATAAATTTGTTGCTTGCAAACGCAATCATTATTAAATAACTAAAAAGCATGGCAAATTACTTTGTAAAGTTTAAATCAAAACCAAATAGAACAGTGAGATTTTGCATGCTGTCGACATCACTGGTCTTTGGAAATTGATTTTACGGACACTAATCGTGACATTTTTGTTTGCAATATAGTCGTAGTAAAAAATCAAATCAGTACCGCTTTTTCTTTAAAATTCACATAAAATTGCATTTTTATTCCTCTACACAAAACAAAGGTACTATTTTTCTAATCACTAAACCAAACACATAATAATAACAGTAATAATAATAATAATTTCCAGTTATTTGTTTGTAGAGATTTTTAATCTGGACAATAACATTGCTAAGCCGTATAAATATTATTTAAACATAATTTGCTATTTCTTGTACCCACAAAGATGTCAGTTATTCTTTCTTGTGTACTTCCTTCAACTATTTCGAGGATAATATCAGCAATATAGAACAAAGTATCAAATGTAGGCCAGTCACAGAAGGCGAAAATAAGGTAAAAGCTCCCAATTTTTTCGCATAGCATCGATTTTCCTGAAAATTTGCATATAAGCTTATCTCACCCCCCACTTCAAAAGTTATATAGCCTAGATGTGTGCTTTTTTCTATTTAGGAGTGAAAATTACCCTTGTACGAAAGAAATGCGAAAATCGCAGATTTACGTATTGTAAAGATTCAATTCATGTTCAAATATTAGAAAATTTTCCATTTTCCTGGACTTTACTACACTTCGTTTTTTCAAATTAACTTCCCTGTATATCATTATAATTTTGAATTTATCGTTGAAACAATATCGTTGTTCTACGAGCTCTATGACGAATTTTGACAGATAGCTAAGTTAATTTCAAACATTTTTTTCTTATATGAACATAGGTCCGATTCTGATTAAAAAATATAATTTCATATTTCAAAGTTTGAAATTAACCCAGACAAAGTTTGTCAAAGAGCTTGTAGAATAGTTTGCAAGCGCAAAAAAATTATTAGAACACTAAAAGGATCATAGCTGAACAATTAGGACTTTTAATTACTATTGAAGCAACTTTTCCTGAATAAGTACTTCTTACACTTAAGAGATTATTGTTTACATCTTTAGTTGTTGTTGACAATCTCAGAACCCGCTGAATCATCTGCTCTTGAATAAATTACAAAATCATCAGCCACAATATTTCACGAGACCGGTCAATTTCGAGACGGCAAAGTCCAGTCATCTCCAATTTGCATTTTGCGTCAAAATATTTTCGTGATCGCATCTCTCACGGTTACCCGTACCGGTACACATATTTGCATATTTTATTAACCTGTAAACCGTAAAATAAACAAACCTGCCCAGTTTGTTAATGACCCCGATCAGTGCTCTGAAAACACGGAGGTTAATAGAACTAATGAAGATTTTTTCCAGAACATGATTCGGTTGACATATTTCGTTCTGACATGTCTACTAGTCGCCAGCGGATACCGCCTACCCAGGGATGTTATTCCTGAACATTATAAGCTGGAGATAATTTCATACTTAGGAGTCAAGGACAATTTCGATTTCGATGGGAAGGTCTGGATACAGGTGAGGACATTATTTCTCGTGTTGTTTTATTAAAGGAAATAAATGTATTGCGAACTATTCTTAAACCAAAACCGAAATATGTAAAAAAGAAATCCAATACCTGATTTTTTCAGCATATGACACACTTGAAATCTTGTGGCTAATCTTCCAGTACTGTTCCACGGCGTTTAAAATTATTGATTCTAAGTTTCTTACTCTTTCCTTTTATTGCAACATTAGCTAATTGACGTTCAAAGCTCCCTTAGTGTCTTAAATGTTAAACTAATTTTTTAATGTAAAACAATTACTTTTTAATTAAGCAATGGAGGCTAGCCTCGGTTGCCCCTCGTAAGCATTCGGAACAGGATAGGATTCTGCTTAAATTTAAACTGTTCATATCACATATCAATCGATTAGTATTTATTTTTTTAGGTACGTTTAAAACAGCAAAATTGATTATTTTAACACATAAATTAGTTCAATTTACAATTTACAATAAAGTTAAACATATTTATATGAGTTCCATTCGCAACTGAATAGTATACAGTACGCGCCTAAAGTATGGAATAAACTCAGTAAAAACGAAACAAATTTTTTTTTTAGAAAAATCCTCAAATTAAAAATCGACCTGTTTTTCCCAAAAAAAAAATGTTTCGTTTTTACTGAATTTATTCCATACTTTAGGCGCGTACTGTATAAAACCGTAAAGTATCTTTGACCTCACTTGTTTTAAATGTAACGATATCAAATCGCTACATCTGAATAAAAATTCAGTTATATCCTACTTAAGATTCAGGGTACGCACCAAACGACATTGATAACGTTTAATACTACCTTGCACCTTAAAAAAACGCGTAAGTATTTTTCATTTTTATCTGCTTTACTTTATTATTGCCACCATATTTAACCCTGAAATTCGCTAACATTAACCTAGTTCTGCGTCTCTGGCAATACATACTCGCAATAATATCAATGCGATTTCTTTCTAATTTAATAAACAGTCACTCTAACGGTGTGAGCTACAGCGAGTGACATGCCTCAATCTGAATATGATTCCTCGTATACAGGGTGTGCATTAAGAATGAATCACAACTCTTGAGATCAAAACACATACATAGTAAAATTTTTAGAAGTGGGGTAAAAATAAAAAAATAGCTGATGAAAAGTAACAATTAATGTCAGACTTTTAAGGTATTATTTCTTCCAGACAACATGTCTCCGCCCTACCCGAAACATCACGCTGCACTCCAAGAACCTGGAGCTGAAAGAAAATGAGTTCGCCGTAAGGGACATCTCCAGCAACGACCCTAAAACCGTGAAGATCTCCAAAGTGGAGCTAGTCAGAGAAAACGACTTCCTCGTGATCCGTCTCGGGGAAACCCTGAAGGAGGACCACAAGTACGAGATCTTCATCGCCTTCAAAGGAAAGATGGACGACGGTCTGGCAGGTTTCTACAGGAGCAGCTACCTCGACAAGAAGAAGAACGAGAAGGTATGGCTCGGCGTTACTCAATTCGAGGCCATCTCGGCCAGAATGGCTTTTCCTTGCTTCGACGAGCCGGATATGAAGGCTACTTTTGATATCAGCATTGGAAGGAAGGACGGATATAGGGCTATCAGCAACATGCCGCTGCTTCAAACGGAGCCACTGTAAGTTATTGGACAGAGTAGGCTGGTAGCATCAGCAACTAAAGTAATATTTTGCACCCGATGCCTATAAATCTATTATTTCTTGAATTGGAAGATAATCTATTAATTTGATTGGGTATTTGCAATCCCTTCCACCAAAGAGGATCAGTTTGAAATGCCCCAATTTTCATTTACCAACAACGTTGACTTTAATCGGGTAACAGGACCATAATATCGACAGTCTTAGTCTCTTTGGCTTTTCCAAACAGTATGTCAGTATCTTTTCACTCGTGCAATGATATTCTTCGCGTTTTTCCACTTTCCACGTTTGCCATTACCTCTAATGCATCTTCTTCCATGTCTGAAGGAAGTTTTTCTTCTTCAAATTCAAAATAAACAAGACAAAACAAAAAAAAATAATACTTGTATAGTTTTGCCCATATGTCCTTATTTTTTGATCAGAGAATCACCTGTGGAGTTTTGTCGGTGGTATATTATACCACTCTATAACTTTATTCCTATTTTTATAACGTTTACATTTTTTTTACAGCAAGGAGAAGGAGGGGTGGTTCTGGGACAGGTTCGACAGCTCAGTCCCCATGTCCACCTACCTAGTGGCCTACATCGTATCAGACTTCGAATATAAGACAGCGGACCCCATCGAAAACAACAACGTCTCTTTCAGGATCTGGGCCAGAAAAGACGCTTTAGATCAAGTAGGTACCCTTTTAGTAAAATTAATTAGTTACGTAGCATGAAAGCGGTAACTTAATAAGGGTGGAGTTCATCAATTAATATTGATTAAGACCGCGGCTCTTACTGTACAAGACATTCGTGTCGTTTTATTAATTAATAGAGTCGTCAGAAAGTTTGATCGAGGGATATACAAGGTGCGACCAAATTGCTCAGAATTCAACATTCGAAAGACATCATCAAGAAAAAGGTCAAAAACTTGTGGCTTGTGATGAAACCTGGTGTTTTCAATATGGTCCAGAAACCAGTCGCCAAAATGCCGAGTGGAAGGCGCCAGACCAGCCAAAATCCAAAAAATCTTATTTGGAAAAGTCAAAAATGAAGACAATTTTGATTTGCTTTTACGATTCTAAGTTCATTGTCCACAAACAGTGCGTTTCACCGGGCCAAACCGTTAATCATATCCGGTTTTGTCAGAAAAACTTTTTGTTGTTCTTATTTTAAAAAGTCCTATTTATTTTGGAACTCACCTTATATATCTGCGTCTTTCCTAAATGAAAACAATGGCAACGTATGTAACTGTGGGTGATTTAGTAAAACCATAAATGGAGCATGAAAGCAAGAGAAACGTTTTTGGTGGCCATTAAAAATTGATTAGCGATACATGATTAATTAAAATCTATTGTTTAAAAAATTGGCCAATATTTCGTTATTATTAATAAATGAATAGTTCGGTTTAATTTGATTAAACATGATGCAACACGGGCAGTTCTAGCAAAGAGAAATTTCAGAAAATTTTCCCTACAGAATGAGTTTATTTGCTTGACCATCTTCAGTAGGTACAGGGTGATTCATAAATGGTTATAAAAAATGAAACCTCATATTCTTTGTTGAATTTTAAGGGGAGTGTTTCCTATAAAGTTTTTATCTAGGACTTTTTTCGTTAAAAAGATACAGGGTGTTAAACTTCAAAAAAATATTTTTAATTTTTTTAAATAATTTAAAAACTAGTAAGTAAAATAATTTGAAATTGGGGATATGTATTTATGTAAACATTGTTCAAAATCTGAGGCCTTTTTCTAAAATTTAGATGCTCCAGTGGCGGGGACACAGGGTATCGGTGGCATATCGATTAAATAAAGCGTTTAAAAGATATTCATCATCAAACTTCAATGCACGCCAATTTTAACAGTTTTTGATTAATAATTCGGAAAATTTCAATTTAGTTTATGAGTTTCAGAGAAATTTATACAAATTTGAGTTTCTATGAACAGAGAAATGTTTTAAACTTAAAAAAAGGAGAGATAATTTTAACGAACAGTTGATAGAAAGATATGATTTTTTTTCTAATACTGAGCAAAAAAAATGGAAAACTGTAAAGCGGAGAACCTTCCTATTAAAATTAAGAGCTCATGTTTGGAGAGAATTCTTCTAGAGGTGTCTAGCAACCTATTTTTCAGAGTATAAAGTAAAAAAAATAGTCGATTTTTTTTACCCACCCTAATATACAGGGTGTTCCTTAATGATATGCGAATATTTAAGGGTGTGATTCTACATGGAAAATTAATTATAGTTTGCTTTATGAACTATAAACCAAAAATATTCTGTTTCGAAGAAACGAAGTGTTAAAATTTTAGAAAAAATAGAAGGAAATTAGTTAATATTTTCGAAACTGCTTGAGATATTTCAGTGATATTTAGTATGTAGTGATAGTTAATAAGGGCGCATGTTTTTCAATACAAACATAATTTTTAGCCCTAACAGTGGCGTACGTACAAGCAATGACTGATATTTTTAAAGAAAAAAATGGTACGGCAATGGTTTTTTCCCAAATAAAATTATTTTTGAAATTCACGTTCAATTTGAAAGATAAAAGCTCTCTTGAGTTTTTGTCCTGCGATGCGCCGTTTTTGAGTAAAAAAATAAAACCCGTATTGTCCGTAATTAATTAACGTAATTATTGAAGAATACAATTTTGCAATCAACCTAGTTGGCCTGGAATGTGTCACTTGTATTTTTGACATTTTGAAGTAAACTGCGGTTTCTAAAATATTAATTAATTTCCTTATTTTTCCTAAAATTTTAACACCCCGTATTTTCCCAACGGAACATTTTTGGACCATAGTTTATAAAGTATATCATTAATTTTCCTTGTAGAATCACACCTTTAAATATTCGCATATCGTTAAGGAACACCCTGTATATTAGGTATGTATACAGGGTGATTCACAAGTAGTGACCAAAAATGTGATACAAATAAAACATCTCGTAATAATCCTCAAAAAGTGATCTTCAAAAAAGTGTACGTATTTAAAGATTTACTTCTTCTTCAGGTCGATTTCGCCAAAGAGGTTGGCCCCAAGGCCCTGGACTACTACGAGAAGTTCTTCGACGTCAAATACCCCCTCCCCAAACAGGACATGGTGGCCATCCCCGATTTCAGCGCGGGCGCCATGGAAAACTGGGGCCTCATCACCTACAGAGAGGCCTACCTGCTCTACGACCCGAAGGTTTCCTCCAAGATGAGCCAGCACCACGTGGCGAGCGTGATCGCCCACGAGTTGGCCCACCAGTGGTTCGGAAACCTGGTTACCATGAAGTGGTGGACCGACCTTTGGTTGAACGAAGGGTTCGCCACTTACATGGCGAGCTTAGCCGTGGACAAGTTGTTCCCTCAGTGGAACTCCTTGCAGGAGGAGGCAGCCAGCAATATGATCAGCGTGTTCTCGTTTGATTCTCTGAGGACGTCCCATCCCGTAAGTAAATCCATATAAACTAATGCAAAAAATTAAAGGGTCAAAAGAATTTCCGAAATTTTTCCGTGATTTTTGACAGACTGTATTTAGGTGGAAAATGGTAGTATCGGGAATTAAGAAAGAGCATTTTGAAGCTCTAAGATTCTAGTTTTTAGATCTTTCGGGTTACGGTTATCATGCAATTCTAATAGCGCGACAAAAAAATCTTTGCATGGACCAGATAGCGTTGTTTAGTCAGCTTCAATTTCCTTTTTTTTAAATTTCGATAGGACCATTTTTCATCGAAATATCGGACTTTTAATTTAATGGAAATGGATCCATTTCTCTTTAGTCATCGATATCTCGCCGACAAATGGTCCTACAGAGAATTGAAGGGCAGTTTCGAAAACTGGAATAAATTTCCTATAACATAACTTTTCGGAAAAAAAAAATGGTAATTTATGGTTTTTTAGATAATTGACGGCTAAATTAGAAATATTCACGAAATGAAGCATGACTTCATTCGATATACCCAGAAGAACCCTGTAAAGTTTCATCTCGATCTAGAGAACCGTTTCTTTGTTTCAACCAGTCAAACTTTTGAAAAATATTAAAAAGTCACGTTTTTTTAGCTTAAACACTTCATAATGAGTAAGGTAGTAATAAGGAAAAAAGTTCCGTACGAAACAAGTCTTAGGGGTGGTTTTTTCTACCCGTTACAGCCGTAGGAGAAAATCAACAAATTGTTTGATGAGTTCTCGATAGGGTATGTTCAAATGAGATGTTTTTATATGAAAGACCCACCTTATCAATCAATCAAATCAATCAAATCATTTATTGGTGTCTATACATTAAAATGTTCACACAAGTCAAAGAAAGAAAAACACGAAAGATACAACATATAAGCGATACTACACTAAAGCTAAAAAACACATTCAGATAAATATANAAAAAATTAAAGGGTCAAAAGAATTTCCGAAATTTTTCCGTGATTTTTGACAGACTGTATTTAGGTGGAAAATGGTAGTATCGGGAATTAAGAAAGAGCATTTTGAAGCTCTAAGATTCTAGTTTTTAGATCTTTCGGGTTACGGTTATCATGCAATTCTAATAGCGCGACAAAAAAATCTTTGCATGGACCAGATAGCGTTGTTTAGTCAGCTTCAATTTCCTTTTTTTTAAATTTCGATAGGACCATTTTTCATCGAAATATCGGACTTTTAATTTAATGGAAATGGATCCATTTCTCTTTAGTCATCGATATCTCGCCGACAAATGGTCCTACAGAGAATTGAAGGGCAGTTTCGAAAACTGGAATAAATTTCCTATAACATAACTTTTCGGAAAAAAAAAATGGTAATTTATGGTTTTTTAGATAATTGACGGCTAAATTAGAAATATTCACGAAATGAAGCATGACTTCATTCGATATACCCAGAAGAACCCTGTAAAGTTTCATCTCGATCTAGAGAACCGTTTCTTTGTTTCAACCAGTCAAACTTTTGAAAAATATTAAAAAGTCACGTTTTTTTAGCTTAAACACTTCATAATGAGTAAGGTAGTAATAAGGAAAAAAGTTCCGTACGAAACAAGTCTTAGGGGTGGTTTTTTCTACCCGTTACAGCCGTAGGAGAAAATCAACAAATTGTTTGATGAGTTCTCGATAGGGTATGTTCAAATGAGATGTTTTTATATGAAAGACCCACCTTATCAATCAATCAAATCAATCAAATCATTTATTGGTGTCTATACATTAAAATGTTCACACAAGTCAAAGAAAGAAAAACACGAAAGATACAACATATAAGCGATACTACACTAAAGCTAAAAAACACATTCAGATAAAAATAACGTAAACAGCATAAAAAAGTGAATATTACCAACATACATTAAATATCTAAAAACTGGTCAGCAAGGAACTCATCAAAATTATAAAACGCTTTCCTCTTAAGATATTTTCTAATTCTGGCCTTAAAACAGTCTGAATTTAGTGATCGAATTTCAGATGGAAGTCTGGAAAGAATTTAATGCAAAAGTTAGTTTAGTTTTTAGTTAGTTAGTTTAGTAGCTTAGTTTTCCACAGGGAATCATCCCCTGAATTTTTTCGCACTTATTTATATACACCCTGTACAAAAGTATGCCGCACATTGCATTCTTTTTTTTACGACTGTAATTGTGGAACATGTACACACTTCGTGTTGCATTTAGTACATGTTGTATAAACATGAATTACTTCAAACGTATTTCAAGCTTATTTAACCGTAATTTAGAACAATTTTGTGTATACGTGTCACTTCGTATTTCACTTTTTTATTCCTTAAACACGCAATTGTAAAATATCTACATATTAATTAAAAAAAACGATTCTATGTAATTTACACAACTGACGTCTTGTTCTGTAGTTCTGAAGAACTTAGAAGTTATTTTTTTGGACATTAACATGAAACATATAAGTTTAACATGAAACATATAAGTTTAATTGAAATTAATCAATAGCAAATTATGAAAAACCAACAATGGCGTAGGCACTTGTTTGTAAACTTGACACTAATCACAGCGAACTTTATTATTTTAAATACGTAGTTATACACACAAAAAAAACTTTGTTAATTTAAAAATTTATTATCCATGTAGTATTTTATTATTTATGTAATAGTAGGGCAGGTACTATCTGTGCAAAAGTTTTATAAAGCTCATGTATAGTCTTTCCCATCTCAATTGAAGAACCAAGAAGTTGGCAGTATGTACCAGGTTCAGGTCGCTAACGCAGCATCTCGGCATTGAAATATTTGAAAAACTTATTCCCACATTTATTTAGCCATACCCATATACAGGTCTGGTCGCCCAGTTGAAGAATAAGCGCGCGGGCAAACGCGGCACAAACAGAGCCGCACTGGGCGACCTGGTCGCAAATTCAGTTGTCAACAAATGGCTTAGCAGTGCAGTGCAGCAATGCGGAATTTGCTGCGATTCAGGTAATTTTAATTTATTACAGGCACCTTCTATTAATCATTCATATTACAATTATTGCGAAAGGGAGAAATAAGGATATTTTGTTTACTAATATTGTTACAACATGGCATTTTGGAGAAGGAACAAAACGAAATTTACCACCAATATAATAAAATTGTTTGAGGACATAAATAATTAAAACATGTTGTTGGTCAATATGAACATATAATAAAAATTTTCTACGCATTATACAAGGTGTCCCGAAATTCATGCAACAAAATTTGGTCATAGACTCTTAACTCAAATTTAGGGGACCCGTATTTTTTCTTTTTGCCAACTGCCCCCCCCCCCCTTTCAGAGTTACAGCCCCATGAAATCAGCCCCTAAGAAATCTTTTTTATATCTCAAAACCATGTTCTACGAGAATCACTAAATTTGGTACACAGGGGTTTTATGACATATGGAATCTCACAGTGCTACGCTTTTTTGCGAGAAACCCCCTTAAGACACCTTTCATGGGCCCCCTTGTCTTTGAAACCAAAAAAATTTGGTCGCAAATTTGATTTTTTTTATTATTAGTTAGTTAGAAAGCCATTGAATTTAGAAACTTTTTTGTCTCTTGATATTTGTTTCGTAAAACGCAATGTTTTTGAGGAAAATGGCGAATCACGATATGCATTCGATCACATATTTTGACATTTTTCTCGAAAACGTTGCGTTTTACGACAAAAGTATAAAGAGACAAAAAGTTTCTAAATTTAACGGCTTCCTAATTGACAGATAATTTTTAAGAAATTTAAATATGCGACCAAATTTTTTTGGCTCCAAAGACAAGGGGGCCCACGAAAAATTGTCTTAAGGGGGTTTCCCGCCAAAAAACGTAGCACCATCAGATTCCACAGGGTTCCGTCCGAGATATAAAAAAAGGATTATTCTTAGGGGCGTACTTCAGGGTATGTAACTCCGAAAGAGGGGGCCACTTGGGAAAATAAAAAATACGGGTCCTCTAAATTTGTCTTAAGAATCTGTGAACAAATTTTGTTGCATAAAATGTTGAGTAAAATATTTATTTAGTTTTTTGTTTAAAGTTAGATGGCGCCACATACAGTGTTGTACCTGGATTTAAATAACCATAACTTTTTTGTGTCGCACAATATGTCATTCTTGACTAAACATACCTATTCTCTATTCAATTTTATGTACAAAATGTACTCTTAGATGATAGCAGTCATTTTGTAAAAAAAACGGGTTTACAGTTAAACTTGCATTGGAATTTTGTAAGTTAAATCATTAAGAGCGTTTGAAAAACAAGTGAAAAAGTGTGTCTTTTAATGATTGTATGGCGATGTGACAAACTTAGATCATTTACAATACTAGGCTAAGGTTATTTACTTCTACAAATAAGTTAATAACATTTACAATAATTAAAATAAAACACCCTGTATAATGGGTTCACATAATTTACTTGAATTTTGAGACGTCTTATAAAAAGTGATATTGATGCTTACTCTCTGATTCCAAAGTTATGCGGTGCATGATTGGTCTTACTTGTTGATTAATAATAAATAATTGCTCTCATAAAACTCTAATTATGCTGGGGTGCATTATCAGAAAACCACAGAGTAAAATAAGCGTTAAAAATCTCTCATTAATTTACATAAGGCAGGATAACATGATTGTCTTCTGTGGCCCCTCTCAGCCTGCCCACAATTAGCTCCACGAGAAACGCTACCAAGGCGATCAAGTAGCCTATGAAAAGCAATATGAAGGCACCCACGAAGTGTACGGATGTCAGCATCCTATCGCCGTCGTCGTACGAATCCTTCGGCCAAGACACGAACGAGCTCTTCTGCACCGCCGCGTCAGTAGCCCTCAGAATGCAGGCGTTGATGTCGTCTAGTAAGGCGGCTCTCGCTACCCGCGCAAGGAAGAAGGACGCTAATTTTTCGTCAATCACCCTGTAATTAAAATTTATTTTGTGCTGGACGTGCAAGTTCAGGAATCCTTTCGCTGTGGTGTCAGTCACGGCGAAGGCGTGATTGGAATTGTTTTTGATGGCGTCTATGACGAATACTGTAGTCATAAAATGGACTTGGTCTTGGAGGTATTTTATATTGTCGTGCTGTTCAATGCTACGCATCTCCAAACTGATGTAGATGTTCATTCTTGTTGCCTTCAGTTCCTCTAAGGAGTTTATTTTATGTTCTTGTTGCATATTGAATATTTCGTTAAAGAAAACGCCTTTGAACTGGACTGTGATGATCAGGGAAAATATTAGCCAAGATAGGATCATAATTGAACGCTTCATCTCGAACCTCTCGATGGGCAGTCCCAAGAAGCTCCCGAAGTAGTCGAAAAGGACGTCGAGATACGAGCTCGAGTTGTAACCCAGCGTGAGGTTTTTATTCAAAAAAGACATTGTTATCAGGATGACAAAGAACCATATTATAATTTTGTAGGTCAAAATAGAAAATATATAGTTGAATTCGTTTTTCACTTTTTCTTTTGGTACCAGGACCACAACGTCTTCAATATCGATAGGATCAGTGACAGAATATTTGTTAGCCTCTTCGTATGTGATAGGTTTTACACATATGAGAACATCAGAGTTAGTATGAAAATGTGACTGAATATATGTCACATCTAAATTTTCTAGGAAACTCTCATTGATCGGATTTATGTTGGTCTTGAAACAAATTTCCAGAGCTTCCATTAGCTCGATGTATGCACCCTTCAATTTTCCATTCTCTTGTATGGTAACAGGATAAGTAGGGGTCATTAAAAACAAAGATTTTTTAAGGACTTTAGGTCTCCTCGCGAATACGTTCTCGTAATTATTCGTAAAATTTATGTTCGGGCCACCTTTTGCGTAAGGATCGTAGGAAATAACTTTCAGGAGGTTATTGGTTACGTACACTATCACAAAATAAGCCAGATTTTTCATAGCCCATATCTTTTTTGCAATTGTCTTTGCTGATGCATCGTCTACTTCAGCACAGAATACGATATGATGTGGAGCTCTCAAATTCTCAACTCTCCCTATATCACGTACGGCAATATGACGCTGCACGTTGTTTACGTTGTTGTAAAACACAACATTCGCTGGCGACGTAAGAGCCCCATCCCCTACGAATTTAGGTAGAGTACAAGATTCCAAGCACCAAGAACTAAAATCACTACAAACGGGCCCTCCTTTGTTAAAAAACTTATACACTACTGTTACATTTTCAAAGGCGGTGTCAATCTTATTACAATAAAGCTTTATTTGGTCCTTTCTAATAGTTTCTGGAGGCAGTGGGTCAATCTTAGTTTCAGATATTTGTAAAACGCTGAACATTACAAGTAAATGTACTCTTGAAATCATGGTGATGTAATGCAGTCGTGGTGCAAAATCACGTTATATTATTACGGACTTGAGGGAAAAGTAAACACTTCCGTTGTTGTTACGAAACATGGAAACTACACACGACATATTTGGAAGTGTTTAAAAATTCATTATTTTTTTTCGTTTACTGCAGTTGTCTCGATATGAAACAGGAACATTTTCAGGGAAAAATAGACGATCGCAACGTTTTATTAAAAAAGTAAAAAAAAGCAGAAAATACCATTCAAGAAATGTTCACCTCAAAAAACATATCTACCCACAGAAGCTTTCAGTTAAACTTCCCTTCCTTCTCCCTTTCCATCGCCATGTTTTTTGTCATTAATTCTATCTTTATCTAGATTGTACCTATCCATTTATATGATCTACTTTTCCTCTTTTTTATTATATTTCGTGTACTCTCCTTGTTATTTCATTTGGTTACAACCTCATCAAATAATATTCAATTTTACTGTTGGTTCTTGTTTTAACGTTTCTCCTATTGTTTCATTTCTTTTCTATTCAAATGACTCATCTCCATTGCGTTTTGTTCTCTTTCTATGACCTTGGATTTTTTTGGTTGAAAATGTTTGTGCTTAGACATTAGAAATGCCACTAGTCTTCCGAATTTAGATATTTCAATGTTCTTGTAAACTCTCAAAGTTGACTTCAACATGGAATATTAAGTCCACAATGTGGATGGAGCTAATTTCTCACTTAAATTGAAAATATAAGCCAGCAAGACATCTTCATTTACGCCCTTCACCCCTTTGATTTTCCAATCTTGAAATTCCTTCAGTTATTGTATACAGGGTGTTTCAGTTCGAGTGAATCAAACTTTAACCACAAATAGAACTCAATAAATAATACAGAATTGCCTTATAAAGCAAGGGTCTAAGTCTCACCGTTTTCACTGTACAGGGCCGTATTGGTTGATTTTTAGAATCTTATTATTTATGAAATCTTTGCTACGCTTATAACGAATTGATTCAAATTTGGTGTGGTGTTAACATGTGTATAATTTACTGTAAAATTTACAAATTTTTGTAGGTCAGTGGCGTAGGAATGGGTAATAAAGCGGGATTTTTTTTACCCCAACTTCTACGCCAATAACCTAATGATCATTTGGGATTCATTTTTAGATTCCGTGGGCAATTCCACATAAAAAAGGTATATTTGTTGAAAATCGGTATAGTGTATCGTTTTACCGAAAATCGCAGTTGAATAGGAGACCGTTCTTCTGATAAGTTTTTTTTGGAAAATTAGCGCTTTCGGTTTACGGCCTCGAGGGCTAAACATTTCCCAGCATGACTTATATACATCGTAACACACTAGTACCATAAATAACTATAATTTTGACTACTTATCTTAACCAGTTCTTGCAGCAAACTCTTCAGTGGCTTCATAAACCAACAATTTCATATTTTAGCGCACACATCACCCATCTTTCTTGCATTTTAGGTGTCTGTGCCCATAGGAGATCCCAAGGAAATAGAGGAGATCTTCGACACCATCTCCTACAAGAAGGGCTCTTCCCTTATTCGAATGATGACTCTGTTCCNTTTGTGCTTAGACATTAGAAATGCCACTAGTCTTCCGAATTTAGATATTTCAATGTTCTTGTAAACTCTCAAAGTTGACTTCAACATGGAATATTAAGTCCACAATGTGGATGGAGCTAATTTCTCACTTAAATTGAAAAAATAAGCCAGTAAGACATCTTCATTTACGCCCTTCACCCCTTTGATTTTCCAATCTTCAAATTCCTTCAGTTCTTTGTTGTATACAGGGTATTTCAAACTTTAACCACAAATAGACTCAATAAATAATTCAGAATTGCCTTATAAAGCAAGGGTCTAAGTCTCACCGTTTTCACTGTTTTCACAGGGCCGTATTGGTTGGTTTTTAGAATCATATTATTTATGAAATCTTTGCTATGCTTAGGTATAACGAATTGATTCAAATTTGGTGTGGTGTTAACATGTGCATAATTTATTGTAAAATTTACAAATTTTTGTAGGTCAGTGGCGTAGGAATGGGTAATAAGCGGGATTTTTTTACCCCAACTTCTACGCCAATGTCCTAATGATCATTTGGGATTCATTTTTAAATTCCGTGGGCAATTCTACATAAAAAAGTTGTTGAAAATCTGCAACAGTCTGTAACTCCGTTGTTTTTCAACGAATCTTGACGATTTTTACTTTAAGCTCTTTTCATAAGCTTTCCGAATATGTAATAGTATATAACTATATCACGCTCATGCGTCGTATATTTCATTTTGCAACTAAGGCTAAAAAATAAACAAAAATCCTGGTTGCAATTTTGTCGACACTAATAATTAGTTAATTTGTTTATAAGAACATAACTTGTAAACTATTCAACTTACCGATTCCAGATTTCGTGTGAGTTATTAGACAGTGATAAGAAATGAAAGGATGCGATGCCAAAGGTTCTGGTAATAATAACGCAGTTTATAAATGTTTAATACAAAAGTCATAAATAAACTTCTGTTTATAACTTTTGATCTAATCAATTTTTTTTGACGCTCGAGGGCTAGTTTTGTAGGTCTTTTGAAGACGAAAAAAAGTACTCTACTGTTTTCTCGTGAAAATGAACGGAAAAAAGTTATAAGCGAAAAACGTGAATTTACGTAAAAATTATACAATTAACCACCTTCTAAACAATCTTTCCTCCCATTTTTATGACTCTGGAAACTAATATGTTACTGTACATAATATTTAGCATCTATAGTGATAAATTCAGCTTGCCGAAACAAAAAGTCGCGAAATGGTCATTTCCCAGCTTATTTTCCTGGCCTACTCTCGGTCTATGGCCTCTAGGGCTAAACATTTCCCAGCGTGACTAATTCTACAAACTAGTACCATAAATAACTATAACTACCTATTTTTGTTACGGTTTTAGTTGTTTCCTTTCAGTCAAGTTTTAGAAAATGAACTTAACGAGTTCTTGAAGCAAACTCTTCAATAGATACCAACAATTCCATATTTTGGTACACAAACCAAATATTTTTCTTGCATTTTAGGTGTCTGTGCCCATAGGAGATCCCAAGGAAATAGAGGAGATCTTCGATACCATCTCCTACAAGAAGGGATCTTCCCTTATTCGAATGATGACTCTGTTCCTGGGCGAAGAAGTGGTAAGGAAAGGAGTCAGCAACTACCTCAAAAAGCACAAATTCAATAACGCTGAACAAGACGACCTTTGGGAATCCCTCACCGAGGAGGCGCACAAAAATAACATCATCCCCAAAACCTTAACCGTTAAGACCATCATGGATACCTGGACTTTACAAACCGGGTACCCAGTGATCACAGTTAACAGGAACTACAAGAGGAAGAGTGTTGAAATATCACAGGTACGTCGCACAGTTTCCAACTGGTCTGATTACCATGATATACTTTTTGTAACTTTCAGAGGAGATATTTGAGGGATATACTCAGCCCTAAAGACGACGCCAACTCGTGTTGGTGGATACCACTAAGTTACTCCACCAAACAGCACTTGGATTTCAATAGAACCACGCCAGACCATTGGCTATCCTGCCCCAGCCAAAGTCAAGTCGTTGAAGATGTTGCCGACGAAAACGACTGGGTTATATTCAACAATCAGATGGCGGGTAAAACTTTGAGTTGTGGTGAATGTACTTTTATCTACTAACCAAATTTTTTTAGGTATTTACAAAGTAAACTATGACGAAGAAAACTGGAAGCTGATCATAAAAACTCTACAAAGTAGGCAGTACGTTGCAATTCCCACGCTCAACAGGGTGCAACTCATCAGTGATTCTGCTGACTTGGCTTTCATAGGGAACCTGAAGTACGACATCTTCTTTGACTTGGTGAATTACTTGAAGGCTGATGATGAATACCTGCCTTGGAAAGCCGCACTTGGAAAGACCAGCGGGTTGACTACCCACTTGAAAAAGAGCGACATCTATGGACTTTATAAAGTAAGCTAGTTGTTCGAACCGAATTTCATTGGAATATTTCTTTATAATTATGTTTTGTGTAGGAATATATGCAGAAGCTGTTAAGCCCCATTTATGAAAAGTTGGGTGGGCTAGAAATACCAGCGTCTAGTGCCGATAAGCTCGATTTAATAAAACTCCAAGTTCTCATCGCGAGTAAGGCCTGCAAGTTCGAGGTTGCCAACTGCATAGCTCATTGCCAAAACTTATTTAAGGAGTTTACCAAAAATCCCAACGCTACCGATTTGTAAGTGTTTTTTTATTTTAATTGGATCACAAAAACTGTGGAGTGGAATTGTTTTTGATGTTATTATAATTTCTACATCATAAAATGTTCCACAACAAAATCTATCAAAGGGATACGAACAACCCACATTTTTTAAGTCGAATGTAACCCTTAAATCTAATGATGTATCTATAAGACGCTAATATTTTTTAGAATCCCTAAAGATTTAAAAGGGGTAGTCTACTGCACAACTCTGAAGCACGGCGGGGAAGAGGAATGGGAGTTCTTGTGGAAGCACTACAAAAATTCAAATGTCGCAACAGAGAAGAACACCATTCTGAGCGCTCTGGGATGCACGAAACAAGTCCCATTGCTGACGAGATACCTGGAATGGTCCTTGGACGACTCCATCATCAGGAGGCAGGACAGCAGCTCTGTATTCAGCTCTGTCGCTAGGAATGACGTTGGATACGACATTGCTAAAAACTTCTTTTACAACAAAGTCGACCAAATCTTCAAACAGTAAGTTTGTAAATTTATTACTAAGATAATTTTTCTATTATGCAATGGTGTAGAGAAAATTTCAAATTACATTCTCACTCACTAGTGCCTAGCTTCGTTATCATTGGAGATACAAAGTTGGTAACGTTTTCAATGAACACAAAAAAAATTAAAATGAAATTTTATCAGAATGATATTTTGATATCTAACTTCATAAATTAGTCGCATTTGGTACATGATCTGGAAAAAAATGTTCTATTCTGAGCATAATATGGGTATTCTATACGAAAGTAAGTAGGTATATTTCCAATTTCCAATAATATCTTTGAGTAAATACGATTTTCAATTGTTCTTTATTTTAGTATAGGTATATGTACTGAGTGCAAGATTTATAGCAGTAGAGACTATTAATACGTGTGAAAAACAAATGAAGAATGTTTTTTTTATTAAAAATACCTTTTCAAATTATAACCTCAAAACTGTAAATACTGAACTTATTACAATTTTCTTAGATGTCAATTTTTGAACAATCGTATTAGCAATTTTTTTATTCAAAACTTAACAGGGTGATTCAGAACTTATAAAAAAAATTTTTTTTGAATGTACAGGGAACCCTTACGAATACAACTTTGTAAAAAAATCAAAAAGAGCAGTTCGAAGATGATTTAAAAATACACTTCTGCCTACCACTACCTATACTTTTAATAGTATTTTAAAAATGTATTTTAATTTATTCCAATTGGTTTATTATTGATTGTTTTATTAATTTATTTTTCTCCGAATTAATGTCGAATGCGGAGCAAATTGCGCTTTTGAACAACAACAATGAATAAGTATTTAAAAATTAGCAGTAGGCCAAGCGTAGAATAACGTGTTATTAGGTTTCAGATCGAAAAATCATAATACACTTTCCCAAAAATTGTTAAGTAAAAAAAACTTTTAGGATTTGTAATATTGAGGAATCAATAAAAATATCTGTACTTTGGTATTGCACTTATATGTATATTTAATAATGACGAATTAAGAAAAAGTGCGCGCCTCCTAGTTGAAAACACCCAGTATATTACTGTATTTACTGGACATTAAAAATGTTCATGTTGTTTGTTTATTTATTACTAAACACGATTTCTTTATTCTAGTTTGCAACCAAACAAAAGGAGGATCAGCAGGTTCCTTTCATCTGTAGCTAATCAAATGATTGAAGAAAAGGAGCAAACTGAGGTTGGTACTTGCAATTATGACAGTTAATCAAATCATTATTTGATACAATTCAAATCAATTTAAGTCAAAATGAATTTAAATAACTTTCTAGATTAAATACTAATATTGAATTTCAATTCTGAAAACGTGACATAAACATGTTTTAAAAAGCAATTTAAAATACAATTCCATTCAGTACAGATATTTAAAATAGTAATAAAATCTGTAGTATTTTGTTTTGGATTTCTTTTATTGTGGTGTAAGAAATTTTAATCTTACATTTTTGTGTCATTTTTGATTAATTTTGATTGATGGATCACATCATAATAAATAACAAATATGAATCATTCAATGAGAGACATATTGATTCCAGATTAGATTAACTCTGCTTATTTTATTAAACGTTTATTGTCTGGTGCTATTTTTAATATACCTACCTACATTATTTGTATGTTACAAATGCACAATCAGAATACATAACAGACATCATACAGAGAGATCCAGAATGATTGAAGAGTTTGGGGAACGCAGCCTGTTTCAATAATCATCTTTAGCATATAAAAATCTGTGATCTGTATAGACCAGAGCGAATCTGGTTTGGGATGGATGGTAGGACTTTGAGAGAGGGCAAGCAATTTTTTTCTGGATTACTTTCAGTGCAACTCACATAATAAATGTGTAGATCCCTATAGATTTGGGCGAGGCTCGGAACATTTTCAAAATTGCAAAAATGTTTAAAAAATTTTTAAAAATACCCATTTTATCTGTTTTTTACTTATATCTTGGAATTTTGGAAGAATATTGAAGAGGGAAACAAGTTTTAGAATTGAATTTTGCACAATTTACTGTAAGTTAAAAATGTTTAAATTTATTGCTGTTATTGAAAAATAGCAATAGTTGATGAAAAAAAGGCAAAATAATCAAGTTTTTTTGAAAATTTTTTTAAAATATTTTAATTGCTCCGAGGGCATTCTAATTTTGGTTAGAGTATAATAAAACAACACATCAAATTTCATTAAAATCGGTTCTATAGTTTTTGCAAAATAATTTTTTGGAAAAAAATTTTGAAAAGAAATTTTCGAATTTTCAAAATGTTGCACAGCCTCAAATAAAGCATCTAGGTCTAGGTACTTGAAAATTTTTCACATAGAAAAGACCGCTCAACCTTTCAAATTTTTTCATTGAAAAAAATGCAATAACTTAGGGTAAAATAGACAGTACCTATATTTAATGCATAAATAATAAACTTTGTTTATTACAAAATATGTGCAAATTAGACAGTTGGCATTACGATATTTGAATTCCTTGGCTCGCGAGACATCGGATTAAAAAAAAAGATCGAAATTGGTCCATTAGAAGAAGAGATAATGCAATTTTTTTCGTACTTTCGCTTTTTGAACCTCGGAATTCAGTCTTGGAGCGAAAGCCCCCTTCCCCACTTTTCGTGTTTTGAGTCACTTTTTACGCGTGCGAGCGACAGCTTTTCCGCTAATTTATCTATGTTGCTGATAACTTATGGATATGAAAATTTTTTTCCAGCTTAGAACTCGGAAAAACGAAGCCACTGGATCAAAGATTATTGCTAAATTGTTTATAAATTAACAGTAAATGGCGATAAATTTTGACCGCTTATATCTCGAGAACCAATAAACGGAATTTTTTTTTAAGAAGCATCTTTCCGAGTACTTTAAAATTATAATTTTTGAAAAAAAACTAAATTGCAAATTGATAAATGTAATCTAATTGTTTTAAAATTAAAAAAGTGTTAACTATAACAATTTACTTTGGCCGTCCTAATCAACCGATTTCAATTTTTAAAAAACCATTTCAAAGGTTGAGCGGTCTTTTCTACGTGAAAAAAATTTCAAGTATCTAGATGCTTTATTTGAGGCTGTGCAACATTTTGAAAATTCGAAAATTTTTTTTCAAAATTTTTTTCCAAAAAATTATTTTGCAAAAACTATCGATCCGATTTTAATGAAATTTGATGTGTTGTTTTATTATACTCTAAAGTTTTTTTTACCACAATTAGAATGTCCT